AATAGTAGGGTTCTGCATTATGGCAACTTACATTAAGTCCCTTAACAAGAACCCAGTCCTTCAATCGCACAGATCCTTTGAAGTCCAAAGGCCGTGGTTCGAAGAATTCGCGACGGTATTCCCTTGTTAGCAGTAGATACTGATGGTTGTAAAGATCCCTCAGACCCTCTGAGTATTCAGACCATCATCACAAGAGCCCACCAAAGGCGCCTTGAAACCTTTCTCACCACATAAAGACCCTTGTAAACCCTTGCGAAAAGCCTCCATGAACAAAAGCAACATGTACAAGCATCTATCGCCCTCATACAGCCACGATATAAAGCCCTTCTAAAGCCCTTATCACCCTCAAAGGAACCCCTAAACCCTAATTTTACACCACAAACCCTAAACCCCGATTTGGGCAAGCATTCAAATGAGTGTCACTCCAACCTTAGAAGAAAAACCCTAAACCCTAAACCCAAAAGCCTAAACCCTAAACGCCCCTAAACTCGAAAACCCTAAACCCTAAACCCTAAACCCCCCTAAACCCTCAACAATAAAACCCTAAACCCTAAACCCCCCTAAACCCTCAACAATAAAACCCTAAACCCTAACCCCCCCTAAACCCTCAACCCTAAAACCCTAAACCCTAAACCCCCCTAAACCCTCAACAATAAAACCCTAAACCCTAAAGCCCTACGAAAGAGCCGTGGAGGCCCGGAGCCCCACTCCCTTCGCCGAGTTCCTCTCGGCCCGGAAGCGCAAAGAGTTCACCAAGTCCTAGAGTGAGGGGACTTTAAAGGGGTTCTAGGAGAAAGTTTAGGGTTTTGGGGTACTACTCAGATGATAATATACATAATATACATAATAATAATACTGATAATGATAGTGATAATGGTAATAGTAGTCGTCGTCGTAGTAGTAGTAGTCGTAGTAGTAGTAAGAAGAAGAAGAAGAATAGATTCGCCTGAAGTGTTGGCTTCGTCGGGTGCAGGGATGTGAGGTTCAGGGTTTGGGGTTTTGGGTTAGCGTTTGGATTATAAGAGGTTTCCGAGAATTAGGGGTACCCTATTTTGGGGTCCTTTATAATAAGGATCCTACTATTTAAATTTAGGGTACCATATTAGGGTCCCCTATTTTCGGAAGCCCCTATATCTATCCGGTTGTCAGACTCAGTGTGGCTGACAGAGGGCCGCCTAAACCCCTAAACCCGAAACCGGCACAGGCACCAAAAAGGGTTCCTGACCCACTTCCCATTAGGGTTTAGGGTTTTGGGGTTTAGGGGTTCAGGGTTCAGGGTTTAGGGTTTAGGGTTTGGGGTTTGGGGTTCCTGACCCACTTCAACAAAAACGCCATTGTTCCTCAGACTCACCAACTTTCGCTCCACACCGCTCCCAGACAATTACCCCACCTTTCCAAACAACTTTGCAACGCCTCGAACCTAAACCCCTCTGCTGACTTGGCGAGGTGGAAAACTAGGTCCCTGAGTAGTACCCTTTTGCCCTTTTTAGTTGGGGGTCCCCTTATTAAAACCAAATATTAGGAACAAGGGTACCCTTATTATTAAGGGGTTACTGGGGAACCAAGAAAGTGGTGCTACAAAAAAAACCCAAGCGTCCAAACTCAAGCCCCTGAAGTCTAACGCCTAGACCTGCACCACAAAGCCACCAACACCCAAAGTCTCAAAAGCGCTGGACCCTTTCCCACGAGGTCCCCACAAACCCTGAGCCCTAAGCCCTAAACCCTCTGCCCTAAACCCAAAACCCTAAGCCCTCAACCCCAAACCCTAAACCCTAAGCCCTAAACCTTAAGCTCTAAAACCCTAAACCCAAAACCCTAAGCCCTAAACCCCAAGCCCTAAGCCCTAAACCCTTCTCTGCCATGCTGCGAATCTGGAAAGCCTCGGGGGAGGAGGTGGCAGCTCTTCCGCCCGAGGAGGCGGGGTTCTCTGCAGAGAACCCAATACCCCTTAATTAAGGAGTATACCTTAAATATCCTTAAATCATAATATTAAGGGCCCTATAATTTAAGGAATAGTACTTCAATGAAGGAATCTGGGGTTAAGGGGTTTAGGGAAGTTTAGGGGTTTAGGGTTTAGGGTTTAGGGTCGCAGAGAACCCAACACCCCTTACTTAAGGAATATACCTCAAATTATAGGGGCCTCAATATTATGATTTAAGGCCTATTCCTTAATTAAGGGGTAGTGGGTTCTCTTGGTTCTTTGCTGGCCTTGAGAGGGCTTTCCAAGGTTCTCCTTTGGGGGTCATAGGAGGTTAGAAGGTACGTACAGAGCCCCTAAACCCTCAACCCGAAACGGGCCATAGGAGTGTTTTGGATCTTTATAAGGTTATAAATTATAAACGTTTGGTGGGGTGTTCCTGAAAGGACGGCGTTCATAAGCTCAGGATTCTGATAGGGTTTTCGGCAGTGTCCTTAGAGGTGTCTTGTGTAAGTGTTCTTACAGTGTTGTTGGCTGGTAGGGGTCCTTGAAGTCTGTGTTAGGGTTTAGAGCTTAGGGGTTTAGGGTTCCTGTAGTTGTCGCATGTTGTCGCTTCGCAAGGGTTCCCATCTTTTTGGAATCTCGGGTTGTATTCGGGGGTTTCTGACGGCAGAACAAGCTCTGCAGTCTTGGGCTGTTGTGTTTTGGGTTTGGGGTTGGTTGGACTTCGGGCGAGTGTAGAAGCCTGAATAACTAATCACTAAAAACATTCCCTGAAGTTCCTTTTTATAGCTTTCCTGTTAAACTTTTGCTATACCCAGAAGCCCTGTTCTAACCATTCAGCCCCCCCCCCCCCAAGCCCAAAAAGCACGTGCGCGACTCTCCGTCGGAGTCGTAGGGCTCCAGCCCAGAGAACCCAATAAACCTTAATTAAGGAATATACCTTTAATTGTCGGGGCCTTCATATTATGATTTAAAGGTATATTCCTTAACTAAGGGGTATTGGGTTCTGGTTCTTTGGGAGTGACGCGGAAAGGGCCGTGTAATGATCAGAGACGCAGAGCTTCAGGGCAACGCCGCAGGTCGGAGGCTCTCCCGGTGGCTGTGGTTTAGGGTTATAGAGCTTAGGGAAGTTTAGGGTTTAGGGTTTAGGGAAGTTTGGGGTTTAGGGTTTAGGGAAGTTTTGGGTTTAGGGTTTAGGGTTTAGGGCTGAGTGAGGTTTGGGGTTTAAGGTTTCGGTTTTCGGGCTCCAGGAAAGCGTACAGCTTTCCACCCCACCATCCCGAAAGAGACAGAGAGAGTTGCAGGTTGGCGACGTCCGCTCCCTGAAGCGGCAGCTGGGGCAGATCTCAACAATCCTGTCTTTTCATGCTGTCAACTACAACTCTGCGGCCCTCAAAGCCCCCTACACCGCAAAGCCCTAAACCCTAAACCCAAAACCCTAAACCCTAAACCCTGCATGCCCCCTAAAGGCCCTTCTGAAGCGAAGGTATCTCCAGGACCTCTGCGGGGTGCCGCGCTTCCGGCAGCGCCTCATCACTGATGGCCGAGCCCTGGAGGACGACAGGCGCAGGGCTGTATTATTGTTATTATTTTTTGTTTATTATTACTATTAGAATTATTAGTATTGTTATTATTTTTTTTAGTATTATGGGCCCAGAGAGCCCAACCTACACCCTTAATTAAGGGGGCTTTGGGTTTAGGGTTTAGGGTTTAGGGAACCCACTACACCCTTAACTAAGGGAATAGATACCGTAAAAATTATAGGGGCCTTATCATATATTATGATTTAAGGGTATAGTTCCTTAGTTAATGGGCATTGTGTTCTCTGGGGAGTTCGAATGGGGTTTGACGGTTTAGGGTTCAGTGCTTTGTTTCCGGGTTTTCTAGGATTCTAGTAGTAGGGTGGTTTGCGAGGCTTCGCAAGGCCTTCTGGGATTTGACTCCGGGACCCTTTGTCTGGGTCCTTCTAACTCCAATCATGCGCCCCGTTTCTTCTTTCGGAAGCTCCCTGTCGGGTTCAGCGTTCAGGATTGACGGGTATAGAGGTTCCTTATAATACATTCTGAGCGGACGATGTCCCAAAAACCTAGTAAGGTCCCTATATTATTCATCCGCGACTGAATAGAATAAAAAAGGTTCCCGATACCGGGCTTCACTAACTACGGACCTTGTTTGTGTGGGCTATAGCCGACAATGCTCGCGTAAAGACACGCAGGGCTGTCCAAGCTCCCCATGCCCTGCTGTGATGCCGCTCCCCAGAGAGCCCAATAACCCTTAATTAAGGAATATACCTTAAATCATACGACTATAAGGCCCCTATAATTTAAGGTATATGCCTTGATTAAGATGTATTGGGTTCTCTGGGTCAGGCGTCTCGAGGCAGGGGACCTTCAGCTGGTCCTTCTCGCCTTCGGCGAGGCTCGGATGTAAAATGACGCTCAAATCCTGAGCCCCCAAACCCCGAGAACCTGAAGTTCCCTAAACCCTAAACCCTAAAGTTAACTGCGATGCTTGAAGCCCTAAACCCAGGCCTGCGATGCTTGCTGGTTTGGAGCTGGTGAGCTCCCCAGAGAACCCAATACCCCTCAAAATATCAAGGCCCCTATAATTTAAGGTACTATTCCGGTAATTAAGGAACTACGCTTAAATCATAATATATGGTAAGGCCCCTATAATTTAAGGTACTATTCCGTTAGTTAAGGGTGCGTTGGGTTCTCCGGGTCGGGCTTGAGGTTCAGGGCCTTGGTGTATGCTTGGGCAGTGAACCTACGGTTGATGACATAACTCCTTAGCATTACCTTAGGGACCCTAAACTATGGGAATTGTGGTATATATTCCTTATTATGGGTGCTCCAGGGAGCCAGCTGAGTAACCGGAAACCCGTTGAGGAGCCTTACTATCTCTGGATTATTTGTCAGTCATACTAGCATGATATATCTATATCTCTATATATATATATATCTCATTACTTGACATTGCTAGTATGATTTGTTATCATCATGGTGACCATTTGTTATTGTCCTCACGTCGTTACTGCTGATTCATATTCGTACTCATTTGTTACTACGTTTATGACCAGGCCTCCGACGCGGAAGCTGCTGAGCTCAGCTTGGCAGTGCGAGAAGGACGTGTTTCTGAGGTGGAGGACCGAATTTCGGGTCTCCGAAGCTGTCATGGTGATGTGGGCAAGTCTGGACTTGTCCTGCAAGTTGATTTTTTGGTTCGGAATGCGTTTGAACTCCGCGTCGGGTGTACACACCCAGAGTGTTGGACTTGAAAATAAGAGAGTTTGATTTTAGTGTTTTCGCTTGGCCTGTGGCACTACGTGACATTGTTTCAGCGAAGAAGAGTGGTGAGTACAGTGAAATGTGTTGCAGGAGATGCTGAGTCGGCCCTTGCATCCAGACTCAACCTCCAAAGAGGTCTGGTACACGCCTCTGTATGCTGCATCTCACAAAGGGGATGTCGGGATGGTGCGTTTGCTGCTGGAGGCCTCAGCCGACAAGGACGACACGAGGTGTCACGGCTTCACTCCTCTCGGCATCGCCTGTGTTCTTGGCCGTGCAAATGTTGCAAGCGTGCTGCTGGAGGCCGGCGTCGACAAGGATAACTACTGCACATGGGAAGGGCACACGCCACTGGGGGCCGCAGCCGACCACGGCCGCGAGGCCACCGTGCGCTTGATGCTGGAAGCTGGCGCGGACAAGGAGAAGCCTTGGGGAGATGGGATGACGCCGCTTGGAGCGGCGGCTCTGAAGGGCCGCCTCAAGGCTGCACGCTTGCTCCTGGATGCCGGCGCGGAGAAGGAATGTCGGTGCCAGGGTGGTGCAGGGCCTCAGCTCTTAGGCTAAAGGTTGCTTCTTTTTTTGCTGTGAGCTCTCTGCACACTCGGCTACCTCTGGAAGTGTTGATGCACCCTCTTTCCAGGTGCCACACCTCTCGGACTTGCATCCAGCCAGGGCTTTCCGAGTCTTGTGCAGATGCTCCTGGAGGCTGGTGCTAACAAGGACGCCTGCAGGCGCAATGCTGCTCAGTCATCGTGTAATATCGTGTAATGAATGTGCTGAGTTGGTAGGGCCATGAAGTATTGCATACATCCTGTCGACTCAATGCTCCCGGAACCAGGCGCGATGGTACGACCCCGCTTGGCGTGGCTGCACGCAAAGGTGCAGCATGCCACATGTCCATTGCCCGTTTGCTCTTATCGGCCAGCGCCGATAAGGACAAGCCAGGCAGAGCTGATGGGGCACCACCTTTGGGCATCGCTGCCAGCAAGGGACATGCTGAAATGGTGTACATGCTGCTAGATGCCACGGCTGATCTGGAGAAGTCCTGGGCATCTGGCACAACAGCTTTGGGTGTGGCCTGCCGCTATGGCCGCACAACCGTCGTGCGCTTGCTCTTGGAAGCCAAAGCAGACAAGGACAAGCCGTGCAGATCGGATGGTGGAACACCTTTGGGCGTTGCAGGCCGACTTGGCTCCACAGCGATCGTGAAGCTCTTGCTAGACTTCCGCGCTGACCAAAACAGATCTTGCTGGGGGCTCGATGGCAGGACGCCTCTCCGCGATGCCATGAGGAGAGGCCAAAAAGACCTCGTCGGACTTCTGAAGTCGGCTGAATGAAAAGATCCCCCGGTGTGAGCGCAGAGCCTATGGAGCCTACCTCTCCGCTCCACCTGTTGGTGAAGGATCCCACAGGCAACTGAAAGATCTCTGTCTCGAAGGGATACCATGAAATCCAGATACTGGGTGTTCTTCCTCTACCAGTCATAGCCCATCGCCAACCCCCTTCAGGGCTCGGGGCTGCTGGTTTGAGGACGTGAGGCAGCAGGGATGATGAATCTCCAGCACCGGGACCCATCTGTCGAAAAGCGGCCCGGGCCCCTAAACCCTAAACCCTAAACCCCTGAAGAGAGATCCGTCAAAAAGCGGCCCGGGCACGAGATGATGAAGTCCGAGATCTCCCTGACAAGTCGCAACGAAGCTTCTGAGTGTGGGCTGAGGCGCTGAGGTTCCACCTAAGCCTCTAAAGCCCTAAACCCCCTAAACCACCTAAATCCCCTAACACCCCTAAACCCCCTAAACCCCCTAAACCCCCAAACTCCACTAGATTTACCCCAAACCCCACTAAATCCCTAAAACCCTACACCCCCCTAAACCCCCCGTAAACCCCCAAACTCCACTAAATCCACCCCTTGCCGAGGCCCGGGGCCTTCAGGACTTCATCATCAAAATGAGGCCCGGGGGGGGAGGGGGTTTAGGGGTTTTAGGGG